AGTCAGCGGTGATTGGGCCACTGCCTGGGTGATGGAGCAAGACCCTGTCTCTAAAAAAAATAATAATTTATAAAAACGAAACTCCAACTACAAAGATGGTGAGTTTTCTGGTACCTACTATATGCTTTTTCCTATCACTGCCATGAACCCTTCACTTATCAAGGGGGTGACCCTCTTGACCAAAGCTCTAGTGTTCAAAGGAGAGTTCCCAGAAAAAAGAAATAGAATTCACAATTCAGTCAAGCCAGCACTTATCCCTGTCTCTACTTGTTATTTTCTTGTGTTTTATAATTTGCATGATGTGAAGGGAAGACTGGGTAGGTATAATTCCTCCTAAAGCACTGAGGATTTCTGAGTGTATTCACAAGACCGGTTCAATATGCCTTTAAGTTGCTCCTTCTTAAATTGGTGCACTTTTTTTCTTGCTCAGCAGCTGAGTAAGGTTTCACAAGGTGAGGAAGATAGAGAGGATTCCTAAAAAAGTAGAGAAGGCAAAATATGAAAGATATCTGAGAATACAACCAGGGTTGCAAGCAGAATCTGGGTGTAATGGATTAGGAAACAGGTCAGTAAGAGACAGTGTTGGTCATCAGCTGCTTCTGCCTTGGCTCTTCTGTGTTTCCAAAGCATAGGAGAACTACACATTAGATAAAGACAAGTAAACATAAGCATACACTTCACATATGATTACAGTTCTTTTTGAAGGTATGTGGGAAGTGATTTCCAATGTTCACTTTTTAGGAAACATCCATAAATCATTCCTAATAAAACAGACCCTTCTGCTCAGGGAATTGGCCTAGCCCTAAAAACCATGTCTTCCTGTTGAGCGTGCCCTCTCAGGATATCTCTTCAGCAAATGAAAGATGTAGAGGTAAAATAAAGGGTATAATGGTAGTTTGTGCAATCTTCCCTTTTAGATTTAAGGGGCAGAGTTTTATGGCTTGTTATAAGGAGGTTAAAGCTAACTAGAACAAGATGGCACCATAATTATTACAAGTTAGCCATTAAAAGTTGGTATTAAGAAAAGCCACCCTGAAAGAAATGACTGAAATGAAGACCATCTAGCCTCAAAAGGAAGCACGTAGGCCAATAGAAAATTATAACCCCTAGGATATAATTTCTTTTTACTTATTTACCTCGGAGTTTTTTTTTTTTTTTTTAACCTCTGTTCCATAAAGGTTTCACCTTTATCTCTGTCTAGTATTACAAACTAGGAGATGAAGGACAAGACCTTTCTGGGCGCCTTCTGGGAATTGGAAAGCATTTTCAAGTGATGGTATTGCACCTATGTTGACGTTGCCCAGATCTGCTCTTACTGCATTTTGATGGTTGATAATCTTTCTAAGTAAACATTTTCAGAAAGATCCCCCTCCCCGCCCAGCAATAGGTTTCATCTCATATCTTCATTTTCCTGATACACAAATAGCAAGGTGGAGGCAGTACAGAAAGAAGTTATCTGACCTGACTTCAGGGCTTCCTTTAGGTCAGTAGCAGTTCAAGGTTAAACACCTCCCCATCAGACCTATTTTCTTTCCAAAGATTCTGTGACACAGATGCACAGCTGAGGACAAAGAGAGGAATCCTTCTGCTAGGTAGTGCTTGGGGATTATGGCTTTGGGTGGTCTACAGACTATAGACCCAGGTGACGTATCAACCTGGACATTTCAGTTGTGGTAATCACACAATAGTCACTAGAGTTAACATTTTTCTTTCCCTTCCAGTTACAGGTGCAGAATGGACCTATAGGACATCGAGGTGAAGGGGACCCGAGTGGTATTCCCATATTTATGGTGCTGGTGCCAGTGTTTGCCCTCACCATGGTAGCAGCCTGGGCCTTCATGAAATACCGGCAATAACTCTGAAGAACTTGCTTTCTTTCAGTGTTCCCAGTGAAGATACATTTCTCCTCCCCTCCTCCCCTGCCATTCTCCCATATCTTTTCCTCTCTACATAGCCAAGATGTGATTTAAAATGACTGCTACCAACCCTGAACTTTGTTGTTGAAAATCTTCAAATCTTCATATTTTAATGGAAAAGTAAAGGTATTGTTTGAAGGAAAGCTGAAGAAAAAACTTGCTTAGAACAAATGAGGAGTTATATATTATAGAAATTCAGCTACTACCCAAAGAGGGAAAGGTCCAGTCTTCCTGTTACCATAGGTGACACCTTTTTTCTTAGCTGACATGCCTTAAAGGCCAGCTGTGTGATATTAGAGGAAGAGAGGATTTTTCTTTTTAATGATCTTTCTTGGAAAGTTTTTGTGGCCTTTATTTAATTTCTAACTACATACCTGGTGCCTATATCAGAGAAAGGAGAATGAGAAGAGCATTTTTACTTTTTTTAAAAAGCAAATACATATATACACATACACACGCTTGATGATAGTATAATAGTGATGCCTATGGAAAAGTAAAGAGGTAAGAAAGCTACTCTGTAAAGAGATACTTGTGGAGCACATATAGTAGGAATGAGGGAGTGAGCCTTAAAAGAGGATGTTTAATCTGGGTCATTTAAAAAATAATAACTGAAGCAACACATTAAAAATCTTAGAAAAACCAGTATTTCTTCTCATAATAGCAATGGTGAGGTAAGTTCCCATAATCCAGCTCTGCTCATGTCAATCTATTCAAAAAACTTTGAGGGGTAAAGGTAAATCTTACCAGTCTCAGGGCTATGCTAGTGACTTTTTTGGTACCTCACAGTCCTGATAAAGAATCAGCTGGAACAATTGTGGTCAGGGCTATGGTGATGGGACCAAACTAACCCAGTGAGAAAATTCCAAAAGAACAAAAGATAGTACCTCCAAGGCAGCACCTGAACCCTCTCAGGCTATCAGCCAGTCTTTTTGGTTTCTAGTAACAGACAAAGCTGAGAGAAGGAACTGCCTCCCTGGTAGGATGGGTATGAATTCAGCTCTGTTTCTGATTTAGTTAAAATGAGAGGGCCTGGACTGGTAGTTTTTTTTGAAGGTGCTAAACACTGGTTATAGCTTTTAATTAATAAGTTGCTTTGCATGATAAGGGAGGAAAAATGTTTTGTTTGCTTTAGGGGAGAGGGAAATTTGGTGGGTGCTTCATGGGGCCTGGAAGGAGGATATGGATGAATGGATACTAGGGAACGTCAGGGACATTGGTGAGGCAGGAACTATCTTGTTCATGTTCATTCATTTAAGGTTGGTTTTAAGCACTAAGGATAGCTGAACCAAGAGAATTTTGTAGCTTTAAGAAAGTCATTTCTATTCTCCAAATATTCTAGCCATACTTAGGTCTTATATAATTTTGACAGCAAGATTATGAGGACTTTTCCTCAGGCAATGAATTCTATTCAATTTTTAGCATGGTTGCTCTAGTAACTAAACATATGTTGATTGGACATCAGCTTTGTCAAAACATTTTACAAACAAGTAAAATGCATATCATCCATCCCAAAGGGCTTTTTGGTTCCAATCAGAAGAGAATGCTGAAAATGGAATTAGCCACACAAGCAGGACAATGTAAGTTGGTGTCAAGTTTATATTATAGAAAGCAAAAGAGAAAAGTTCCTGAGAATTGGGCCATTTGAGAAAGTTCCATGGAGGAAGGAGACAAGTTAAGGACCCTTGAGAAGCTCATAGTCTAGTTCAGAGAATTCATAAACAGGTGAAAAGTTAAAAGTATTATTAGATTAATAATTGGAAAAAATAATAAAAGAAATGGTACCATGCAGAACACAATGCAGCAACAAAGAAGATATGCGGCCAACCATCATATTTTTTTTAGATATTCAGAAAAAGAATGCTGTCACATAATGGCATCAGACTAGATTGGAAAGAGAAGGCTTTTAAAAATAAAAGGTCCAGTAAGATCAGGCTGCCTCTTGGTCAGCTGTTGGTATCGGGAGAAACTTGCTTTGAACAATCCTGGCATAACTTATGCCTTTTAACCTGAACTGTTCAGTACCTTTGAGAATCACTTAGACAGCTGGACTCATGGTAGGTTCCACGGAGAAACACTGACAGTATTCCAGTTCTCAGTTCAACCAGCCACACCATGGAGGCACAGCCCCTGGTGCCCGCTCTGTGGCTGAAGGTGCAGCTGCTTCCTTGGTGTGCGTGCTTACCTCCCAGGATTCTTCTCAAGATTTGGACATTAACTCCTGAGAGGACTTTGAGACACGCGAAGTGAAACAAATGGCAAGCAGGAAAGAAAAGCCCTTTAGTTTTTTGTTTGTTGGTATATGTAAATAAAAAAACACCTATCCTATCCCATTGTTGGCAGAAGTTTTGCTTTGGTTGATAATAGGGGCTCTGATGCACTTTAATAATTTAGATTGTCTCGGAAATCAAATAGCATTTAAAGATCAATATATTAAAGTTTTAGGCAGGAACACTAATTGTATTCTTTTGAATTTTATGGAAAACTAAAATTATTGTAGATGAGGTATCAGAATCCATTATAGGTTGTTAAAAAAATTTATGTTCTTTATAGATTGAATCTAATATTCCTGCCACTTTATAGATTGTAATAATGTTCCTACTACCTATTATGTTCAGAGTTTTGAAAATTGAACAAAGGGATTTTTAAAACACTATACTTTAAAACATTTCTCTATATTTTTTATTCTGTATTGTATATAATTCCAATAAGATATTGTTTGCTTTGATTGTCTCTATTTTCTTTTCCAAAGTTTTAACTTCTGTGTTATTGATTTAACTTAATTAATTGTGCCATCTAGCCATGTATAATGGAAAAAAGAAGTTAATATTTGTTATTGTGTTCTACGTCAGGGACTGTACCAAATCTGAATTGGTACACTATTTGCTCATGCCTCACAACTCTGAGATTTAAGTATTGTTAGAAAGAGACTAAAAATGAGAGAATAAATTACTTCCTAAGATTACATAGGTGGTAATAATAGAATCAGAACTTAAACTCAGGACTTCTGGTGCCAGCATCAATGATACTTCTTCACTGGTAGTGGTTCTCAAAGCAAGATCTCTGGACAAAAGCATCAGCATTACTGGGAACTTGTTCCTATTACTGGGAAAAGCAAGTTCTTGAGCTTCATCCCAGACCTACTGACTCAGAAACTCTTGAGCATGGCACCCAGAAATATGTGTTTTAATAATCCCTCCAAGTGACTCTCATTCATGCTATAGTTTAAGATTCACTGCTCTGTACCAATAATTAATTGTCCCCTTTTCTCAGGTTAGAGTCACCCGGAGAGCTTGGAAAAGTCCTTATGCCCAGACTGCACCCCAGACCAATTAAGTAGGAATCTCTGGGGGTGGGACTGAGGCAGCAGTAAAATAAAGTTCATGAGGTGTTTCCAGTGTGCAGCCTTAGTTGAAAACATTCTATGGCATTCAAACCTAGATACCATTTAAATTATTAAGTTATATACAGACGTTGCTCCAGCCACAATGAAAAACTTCACTTGGGCGTTTTCAGAGCCCAGCTCTCTGAGCTTCTGTCCCACGTAAGAAGTGGAACATTCTTTCACTCCTGATTTCCTAAGTACTGATGAACCTACAGGAAAATGTATGATTAGTGAATGTTTCAGTTTGTGCGTCTGTAAAATTAGAATCAAATCATAGAACATTGACACTAATAAGGATGAATTTGTCTTAGAGATGAAGAAATCAAGGCTTAGAGAGGTGAGTTAACTATGATCAGACTTAGTCTGTTGCAGAGGTGAACTTTCTGATATTTAGGTCTTGAATGTATTTACTACATAAACACATACAAAACTATCCTTTTTATCTCAGTCCACTTCCATCTTCTCTCTTTGGGCCTGAATAAAGACCAGAAAACTGATAGACAGCTAAAACGTATTGCAGGCATCATTACCGGAAGACTCCACAGTACAATCTGAGAAAGATCTAATATCAAATCCAATCAGATGAGTTCTGAGACTAATTCTAATAGTTTTAAACTAGGGACATATATGTTTTTGACAGTAAATAAGGAATTGTTAAAATATATTTAAAGAAGTGAAGCAACATAAGGAGCTATAAGGCTGTCACGTATATGGGAAAGTAGAGTTCATGTAGTTTCATGTAGAGCCAATAAAGATTTTATTCTAGTCAATTTTAGTGGAAATTTATCTTTGGACAGAGGATTTTTTCTCTTCATTTAACAAATAGCTAAAGAGTGCTTACTGTGTGCTAGGTGCTGAAGATACAAAGGTAAATAAGATATAGTCACTCTAAACTGAAATAGCTCAGCATATTAGAGTGGGGGGATATTTGTGGGTGCTCTTGATGTTAAAAGTATTTTTCTAACATTACCTAGAAGATTGAGTTATGAAGCTCTCTACCTCTTACCTATAATAGGTTTAGGTTGGTTGCTATCCTGGGTTAAGCCCTTTTTGCTGTTTCTATTTTAACTATAAATCTTTACATCCGAAAGGGCAATTGTGATCAAAAGGAAGACAGTATTTTAAGGAATTCTGCTCTGATCAGAACCAGATTCTTAACTGCCATGACTCTCATGTGATGTTGATATTTATGTATAACAAAGCACTTGATCTGCTTACCTGTAGCACTTAATGATACTGTATAAAAACCTATAAGAAAGCATTGCTGCTTCTAAGGAATCAAGTTATAGCAAACACTAGGTCTTGTTTCTAAAAGTTTTCCACAATGTTCATGTTCTTTTTCTTTTTGCAGGGGGAAAAGGGAAGGGTAGAGGGCTGAAGTATGTTTTCTAAATGCAAGTCAATTATCAACCAACAGTCATTTACAAAACAACTTTGTATTTGCTGTAATCATTAAATTTATTGACGAATCACAGGAAAATGGGATGATCCTTCTTCCTAGTGTATAGATTTTCAAGTGGAGACACAGAATTGAATCCCATTTTAATCTTG